TTAAATATAAATTAAATTATAAATAAAATATTGAATTAAAAAATTACACAAAAAACAAGAACTTTAAATAGTAAATTTGATATTATTATCGATATATATTTTTTTCCAAAAAACAATTGATATATGCAAATTTATATTTTATTCAAAAATAAAAACATTATCGTTTTCTCAAAACAACTAAAAACCATATTATATCGATGGAGCTAGATGATAAAACAAAACATTAGAATTAAAATATATCTCGCTATATTATGCGAGCACTATATAGAATTGGGTTTCAGTAGGAATCCAAGTTATGGTGAGAAGAGTAAGAAGTGATCTCCAACCTTTGATCAATCTTAATTGAAAATCAACAATAATGAGATGCTCCGAGATGTACCAGATCAATTCACGTATCAAATGCAATTTATAGGACAGGAGTGAGATTAAAAGTGATCATAGGTTTTAGATCTTTTCTTATTCTTATCACTTTAACTCTTATTCTAACACTATCATTCCGTGTATATATATATATATATATATATATATATATATATATATATCAAATTTGAAGGACCAAACTGTAATACAAAAATACTTTTGACACCAAATTAGTGTTGGATTAGTGTAAATTGGTGTTAAAAATGGCCTGAGAACTTTCCAATAATAAAATCAAACTGAAAACCGAATATGCAAGTGGAGTATACACACCTAGAAGACCAACATGGTAAGAGAGAGGGATTCCATCATCTTGTTCAATTTTCCTCAGCTGATCAGTCTTGTGGATTAAACTGTATTCTTCCCAGTTCGTAATCCCGGATACCAAATCCCCTCTTTTGAAGTTTGGATCATCGGAATCCACCACTTTCGACACCCCAAACCCCTCAATTGCCTGCAATTTTCATCACAAACACACATTCAAACAATTCAATCATCCAACAAAATACAAAATCGTTGCTATTCATACACAGAAATTCTTGTTAATTCTTGGAGGACATCGTATTCCTACTGTTTTGGAGGAATTTTCATGACCTAATTGCATTAAAGTGTTGTACAGTATAACACGAACCATCCAGAAACAAACTAGAAGCAACAATCGAAATGAAAGGAACTGAGATAAGAAAATTAGATATCGTACAGATCCAGGGGTGAAGGGAGGAATATAGGAGCCACGGAAATCAAGCATACGACCACGCATGTAAGGATCACAGGATAAGTAGAGGTTCTTCACTACAATTGCATTCGATCCTTTCGGAACTTCCAATTTCAATCCATCTCCGAGCTTCAATTCCATGTCGTTTTCCATTGGAGATCCATCTATGTAGCCTTTGAAGATGATTTGCTTGTTTTTCACTGTTTTTCCAACCAAATCGATCCCCATTTTACTTCCCTCTGTGTGTGTTGCTTCAAACTGTTCATCATGGTTGCTCATCATTTTAAGGAGTTAGGTACAGTACATGGTCCAAAACAACCATATCATTAAATATTGTTAAAAAGCAAAATTTGGTACTTGTAATTTACATAAGTTAACGAGTATCATTTATCAAAAAAAATAATATATATATATATATATATATATATATATAGGGTCGGGTTCACGTGAGACCAAGGGTTTTTCGTAAGACCCGTAAGATCAATTTATGTTCATTGATCAACTTTATAATCTAATGATCTAATGGTCAAAATTGCAAGATGACAATTTTGTAAATATTGAGAAGTCTCGTGACGTTTATAAATGTTCAGATTCGACGATTGTAAATCTAATCCAAGGGTTGAGAATTGGTCTTATGGGTCTCACGAAAAACTATTGGTCTCACATGATTCCAAGTCTATATATATATATATATATATATATATATATTAATTAAAGGATGTTTTTAGTTTTATTAAGTTTCTTTTTTAGTGAGGAGCAAATTTTTATTTATTCAACTTTTCTCCTTCAATATTCATTTTCAGTAATGAATTTGGTCTTTCAAACTACTTTTCATTTAATTACAGATTTGGTTCTTCAAACTACTTTAATTATCATAACATATTTCGTCTCTCAAACTGTTTTTCATTTTTATATTAGATTTGGTGTCTCCCTCTTGGCATGGGGATGAGGTGGGAACCCCAATCCCCATCCCAAGTGGGAATATGATCACATCCCCAGGACGGGGAACGAGGATCCCGAATGGGGAATCGGAGATTTTTTCCTGTTAATATAAGATGTTTTAAATCAAATATGTTAAACACCACAGTCAATCGATAATGTTCATGTTTAAATCTCACATAGTTTCAAAGCTTGCTTTTATAGAGCATCAAATATTCATAGGTGAACAAAATCACAACATTGTACGTAACTGTTTAATCAAATATTTTCGGTGTAATAACAAAAAAAAATAATAATAAAAGGAAAAAAATTGAATGAAATTTAATGACAGGAGACTCAATGGTCATAAAACCTACAGACCATTAATTATGGCTTATCGTTTCATATTTCGTGAAATCGCCGATGAGGCTTAGTATAAAATTGGAGTTTGTAGATTTATGTGTAATTTGGGGGTCAAGAAGGAGAACTATTGTGAGAAAAGGCGACGGTGGACACTGTAATGAGTGTTGACGGTGTTGTACATCACATATAGTTCGCGCGATGCCAATCGGGAGATGCTAGCCTCTTCAGAGAACAGTTTGGACTACGACTTGTACAGTGAGTTGTACGTGATTTATTTTTAAAATGGTTGCATGCCTTATTTTTGATATGTTATATATGCGTGAAAAGTTCGATATTTTTATAATATGTGTTTTGAGTATTTTGTGTGTCAATGGGGATGTACTACAATATGATTTTGTAAAGACGAGCATTCTTTGTGAGCTTGTCTAAGCCGTAAGTGCGGACATGTTGTGTGAGTTCGCCAGGTAATGCTGTGTGAAATAGACATCTCCCATGATGTTGTTGCTTTGTGATGTAGACACGCACTATAATATAGTTATTTTGTGAAAAAGATTATTCTCATCAAGGCATACTAAATTTATGAAGCTTCGTGAAAATTGTTTATTGTAAAAGTTGTTGTTCATGTATGAAAACCGTGGATACACTGGGCCTAAAACTCACCCAAAACTCTTTTAAAACATTTTCACCCAGGCGGCTATTAGACTGGAAAGAAAAGTTGGATAAAGAGAGGTAAGGATTAGCTCCAAAGAAGGTTATGTGCAGATCAAGGCATTGTTATATAGAGCAAAGTTATGCTCCTCAAGATTGAAATTTAGATGGTGATATAATTTGTAAGATTGTAAATTTTATTTCCGCTGCAATGTAAGTGTTTGATCTTGGGATACTAGTTTTGTTATATTTAAGTATTCAAAATTTTGGGATGTTACAAGTGGTATCATAGCAAAGTTTAAGTGAATTAGGTTACTGAAACCTAAACTTAAAATGAGAATGGGAGATTTTATTATTGATAGACGTGTGACGAAAGATTGATTTTTAGTAATGGGAGTGGTGATTTAAGGTAATTTAGGGTTAGTCTTAAACCAGATTAAAGGAGAGAAGTCGTTAGATAGTTTAATATCTTTGAATATAATGACATTGATAAAGATTTGTTTATGCAAAACACATGGTAAGATGAGATAAAATAGATGTAGAGTGGTGTTGGTGGATAAAGTTTTGGTGACAAACTCCACTAATTTGCTTTAGCGAGGAAAGCATATGTTAAGTTTTGAGAATAGTAGGAACTCAAAGTATTGATGATATAGTGAGTTGATTCATCCCATATTTGAGTTGGGGGATCATTTCTTATATCAATTGGGGGAAAGATCAAATAGTCAGATATGAAATTAGCAACGAGGTTATTCGTGTAATCAATGACGGCAACAGATTCATGGTAAGAACTGATGATCTTGATTGGATGCACGACTAGTTGAAGGATTTTTCAATCGAGTTGGAATGTCGAGATCATATGTAAACCCTATGAGAAGATCTAAGGTTTCTCACATGATTAGTTTCTTAAAGTAAAAGACACCAAATTAGTGTGTGAAATGGTCTTAGAATGTAGAAGACTGTGATTGATTAATCATGTAGGACATTGGAGTTCTATTATCCTCCATAGGTATCTCACCGATGGTTGGAAGAAGATATTAACTTATTTGATTTTATGAAATTGTTAGTAAGCATGTGTTGCTTTGAGCAAGATATAAAAGCAAGAAGGTGGTAAAAGAAAGTGTTATTTGTAATAAATTATCAGGTTTAGTAAGTGAGAAATATTTTATAGTTAAACAATAAGGTTTATCCAAGCATATAACCTTTAAGCCATAAAAAGGGGGCGTTGGAATTGTTCCCATAGTTATAGCTAGAAAGACATCAAAGCTAGAATAGTGTAAAATTGTATGAGATATTTTGCATTAAGTCAAAGATAAGTGAGTTGCAATATAAGTTGAAGATGATGAAATAAGTAAAGATGTGCACTTAGAACAGTCAATGTTATGAATAAGGCATAATATCCTAAATATCAACGAGCATATAAAAGGTTATTACAAAATGCCTTGTTTAAGAATGACTATATATAAGTGTATGAATTGGGTCATTAGAACCAAATGGTGACATGTGTGTTATGAAAGGGGAGTTAATTGATTAGTTGGTAAAACAAGTAGCGAAGTCGACTGATGGTATGTATTTGTCGTCAAAGGAGAGAGTTGTGACTAGACTCTAGGATGAACACAATGATGATATAAACGATATGGGTTAAGTTAATTTCTATGGTTGTAGAAGGATGAATTCGAATATAAATCTGGTGAAATGCTGAAATAACTCAAGGGTTGGTAGTCGATTAATAACTTGGTCAAAGTCAACAACAAACACAATATTGTTATCGTTAAGCACATCACTCAAATGTGAAATGATAAAGGAATCAAGAAAAACTTAAGATGGAAACGATAATGTACAGATTAATGCAATATCAGTGTAAAAAATAGCCCTACCAGTAAGAAATCTCTAGTGTAGTGAAAGAAAGGATGGGCATTGGAATCGGTAAGAGAATACTATGTTAAATCAAAACCCTTCAAAGAATGATTGGCATGTTTCAGATGCCACAAAAGGATGAAAGAATGAATATTAAAGGTAAAACTGAAAGTAAAGATAGTTGAATTGATAAAAGGTTAGAGAAAACAATATGGAAATATAATAAGTTACTTGGTGAACATCATCATCTTGGTATCTACGATTGCTAATGTTAGCATGATCTGAAAGTACTAAAATTGGAGTAAGATGAATGATGTTTATGTAGTCAGGAAGACTGAATGTACATCAATTATCATGAATTATGTAATGTAACCATATAATATCGTAAACTTGATTGGGCTGGAAAGCAAATGAAGTATGCCAGAGATTGGAAGGAAGAACGAGAAGTATGCCAAGAGTGTCACTGCCAGATTAGAGAGGGGATTCCTTTTTTGTATATAATGATGTTACAATGTTGGAACTATGAGGTATATCGGTGAAAAGAGGAAATGATATAGTATTTATGTCATGGTAATTGAAAATATATGATTTGAAGTTAGTAGCAGTGATAGTGGAGTTTGAAATATGGAGGCATTATCTAGAGAATGGATTGTATAGCCTATACTCGATAGCAAAAGACATCTCAAGGGCAAGAAAAAGAGCACATGTATGTATAAATGCATGAATTTGAAAATGTGTGATGCTAGATGCATAGTTGAATTATGAAAGAATTTACAAGGAATATGACGAATGCTTGCATGTTGCCATATCTTGTAGATAATAATAACATGGTGGTATCTATGTGGGGTAACCTTTAGTGACATTTGGAATAACCAGTTAGACTTGAATGCGTTCACTTATAATTAATGATTATCAAAGGAGTACTCGAGTAGAGCAACTCGAAGAGTTATGTGATAAATGCCAGCCGGTTTGTCGAACTAACATCGAAAAGAAAAGAGACAGACGGATGGATCGAAGGTACTCCATCATTTATTAGAAAATATTGCTCAAGTTAGCAACGGATAGAAGATTATTGGGATGTGAATATGAGTTATTCTCAAAGATGAACGGATGTTTAGAACTTCAGACAATAAAACAGTTGGTATGGTAAAATTTATGACATAATGTATCTAATGTAAAGAAGTGTTCAGTAGATAAAAAGTAAGTCGTAACTCTTAAGGATGTGAAAAGAAAAAAAAAACTAAGAACCAAAGGGATTCCTGATAGGATCGATTAACTCAGTTTTGGATATTAATCACTTACTCTGAATGACCTATTTGACAATATTAGTGCAGTGGAAGCAATAAGAACAAACAGAG